GTCTATACGAAAGGTTTTCGTGATCTAATTCAAAGTCAGTTGATATGGCTTTCATTCAAACTCATTTACCTCGTTTTGCAGTCAATCGCATTAGATGTTTGCCAAAATGTTGATCACTTGTTCAAAACCAATTATGTCGAAAGAATTTATATTGGGTTGAAAGCGATCCAGCCATCGACTCATTTCCCCAATTCTTCAACTTGGCGGATCCGCGTGCCAACGAAGACATACTACCCGTGCCCCCACTTTTGACCCGCTGAAAACAGAACCAAGAGCAATTGGGATGTTATGGAGCAACGTCGCGCCTCCAGTAGTGGGCTTCGCCAGCAGATTTCTTCCAATAAACAGCAAACGTAATGAATTTGAAAGAAGAAGAATTTTGAGCGGTCCATGATTAGCGTCGGCGTACGACGAATAAGTCAATCATATTACCTCCCGTGCTTTAATGTTTGCAGACGATGTTAAACTCTGCCCCTCCTCTAACTCAAAATATAGTACTAAACTTGTTCAGTCTTATCTTGAGAACCTATGCTCATGGTGCGCAACCACCATGGTGGTGGTATCGTGTTAAATACGAACAAATGCAAGGAAATGTCTTTTACATGGTCTAACACGACACCTTCTTATTATCGTATTGATAATCACATTCTGGAAAGTGTTTGCAAAATTACAAAGGCTTAGGGAGTTGTGCTTGGTTCAAAGCTCAAGTTTGGTAGTGATATTGAAGTCTCAATTAATAAAGTTAGAAGTCTAAAGAATTTAACGACCCTGTACGGGTTACGAAGCGCTTGTATATTTCATTAATTAGGCCAACTCTTGAATACTCGTCGGTAGTTTGGCTTCCTAAATATAGATGCCATATTGATCTCTTGGAGTCTGTTCAATGAGACTTCTACCCCTTCTCTTTCATCAAATAAATGGAAGAACTCTTATTTTGTGAAAGTCAAAACCATCGAATTCCACCGTTATGTACACTGGTGTTCCCCATTTTTTTTAATCATTTTTACGGGTAAATCGCTAATAAAAATTTTTGCAAACACCTAATGATACACTGTAGGGAATACCGTAGGAACAATATGCAACTGGGTATTCGCCAAAAATACTCTTACTTCATCTAACCGAGCGCAGCCTTACAAGACTCTTCACCTTTATGCAGTGTGTGTGAGAGAGAGAGAGAGATATCTTTTAAAAAAATCTCTCTCTTTTCGTGTAGAAGCTCTTAACTGCTTACCTATTGTTAGGTAGATCCAAATATATTCCGCTTTGGACATACTATTATTAAGGGCGTGGAGAGCACGTCCAAAGGCAACACCACAGTTCGCAATAACAGGATCGACCATAATGCCACACAAATGTCTATCGGATCGATTTATTGAAAAAACAAGAAGCGGCGAAAAGTTTCGACCTAACGGCAAATCCTACTAAAAGCATGCAGCACTTGCTCGGCATGGGAAATGATTCAAATTTTCAGTCATAACCAAGTGACCGTTCAACTGAAAATTGATAAATATTTTCGACGCACATAAAAACTTGAAAAAATACTACAAAAAGAAAAAATTTTATTGCATAGAAAAGAGGAAAATTTAATTCATTTCCCGGTGATGAGTAAAATAATTGCCAAAATTAATTGTATGTATATATGTATGGAAAAGTGAGGCGATTCAAGTAAAACGGCAAACTCTGTCTATACGTTTTTTAGAGAAAAATTAAAATATTATCGTATAAATATTGTAGAGATTGAGTTAAGCCTGTTGCTTAATATTTCTTTAAAGCAGATTGAAATGAATTCAGCGCAAGATATTTAAAAATACATAGATTTAAACGACTTATGCCAATTACAAAATATTTACTGGGAAATGAGAAGCTTTTTACATTCATATAAGCGAATAAAGTCGAATGTTAATTAGTAACGATGGTTGGCGAGAAAGGAAGAGAGAAACAAAGAACGAGATAGATAGATAGATAGATAGAGAGAGAGAGAGAGAGAAAAAGACTAAGAAAATATTAACTATGGCCCGCAAGTCTTTATAATGCTTCAGTAGCCAAGTAATTAGGTATAAATAACGACCGGCAAAAAGACACCTTGTCATTGTGTTAGTATAATAGCTAAGATATGGAAACGAATCGGAACGAAACGAATGAAACCCTGTTAAATATTTTTAAAATAATTGTAAGCATAAAACGAACGCATAGATAGATAGGTAACCAACTAGTCATCCAATCAGCCAGGCAACCCAGTCAGTTAGTCATTGAGTAGAAATCAAATTTAATGAAAAATTCAAATGCATTCTTAAATACAATAATAATAGCAGCAAAAACAATAACAAGAACAACAATAATAACAACAACAAAATAATGCACAATAGATAAATATAATAAGAGCATAAAAAAAATTATGTCATTTACATTAAATGAGATGCACTGACTGGTAAGCGTATTAACTTTAACTTTAGGCCACACATCGTAGCTGGCATACAAATCGAATCGAATAGAATCGTAAACATGCACACAAACACAGGCGCACAGATTAATGATACAAAACCGCAGACTATAACACAATGACGATGGCAATCGCAAGCAACACCTTTACCGCGGGCCAATTCAATTATTGTTGTTGTACTGTTTAATTATGGAAGTCGCAAAACAACAACAACAAATTTAACATAAAGAAAAGGTTTCATTAAAAGCAAAAATCAAAATTTTTAAAAACAAAAATGAACAAAAAAAAAAATTAATATTTATTCACGGTTTCATACGCATTAGATTGACAGGAATTCTGTTTACATGTATGTCACACACGTTAACAGACCATTAAGGTGTATGCAGGTGTATATATCTTTTTTATATACATATGTATACGTATACGTATACGTATGCCTATCAAAGTCTAAAACATTGCAATGACTTTATGCATATACGTACGTATATATATATATATATATATATATATATATGAGTGTTGCAAGTGCAACATCACACACATATTAATAACAACAACAGCAACAATAATAAAAGAACAACATAACTCTATTGTTTGTAATTTGTTGTTGTTTTATTTTTGCATTTTATTATTATTATTATTATTTTTTTTTTTTATTTAATTTTTTTTTTTTTATCCATTGTCTATTTTGGGGAATTTTTTCTACTCGAAAGATTTTTGTACATTTTCTTATTTTGTTGTTGTTGTTGTTGTTGTTGTTAATTTGTGCCAACATATTAGAATTTTAAATTAGTTTTAATGATTTTTACTGCTTTTCATTTTCATTATTAACTTTTTTTTTTTTTTTTTTTCTTTTTTGTGATATATATTTTTTTTGTTTTTTTTGGTTTTTAATAGTTTTTTTTTTATGCAACAATTGTAGTACGTTACTGATCATGTTAAAAGGTGTGCGGCGTATATATATGCGCAGGCATAGACGTGTACAGAATGAATAAATGAATGAATGAATGAAGCTGGATAGTATCTCTGGTGATTTTTAATTGTATTTTATTTGACTTTGAGAACAATTCTTTGGTATTGTTTTATATGTATGAAATAAAAAATTTAAATTTGATGTCAACTGCTTAAGCAGAATTTATTTTATGTTTGCTTTTAATTATATGTCTACGTGGTTTTTTTTTTTATTTTTTAATTTTTTTATTTAATTTACTTACCATGTGAAGGTCAATACAAGATAGCTAACTTACACTAGACAGACTAACACAATTAGTTAAGCAAGCGAAACTTTTCATTAAATATTTTATTATGATTTTTATTTATTTATTTATTTTTTTTTTTTTTTTTCTATACATATCTTGCGTAGTCATTTTCCAACTAGCTCTTCTCACGCTTAGAATGACTTCCTATATATATATTATTACGTAAATGTAATTTTCGTTTTCTTTCTTACGGATCTTAAACAATTCATTTCAGCATCACTGATCTATGGGATTTCTGCATACACTTTATTTTTATTTTTAGATATGAATTCATAAATTATTGACTTGTCGTCAGTCTTTTAAAATTACCTTCATCCTGGGAAATCGTAGAATCTTCTTCATTCATTTATCGCAAATCATTGATCAATCGCTTAGGAAAATTTTCTTATACATGAGTCACGGTGATGGTTAGAAAAAAGTGGGAAGAGGGAGATAGGGAGTGGCCACAGCTTGAGGCTATGCTTTAGCAGTCGAATAAGCCCTATAGCCATGATCACACACCAACCGTAACACAATTATCATCTATTTTACTAAGAATTGAATTCGGATATGCAGACTTGTTAGTCTGGCGTTTCTTATTTTGTGTTTAGGCTACGCGGTAGAGCCGTTTATAGTTTTAATTGAGCTCACCTACGACGACAGCAAAAGGATATAGAGTCTTTTCTTAGTTAAGCAAGCATCCAAATGATTTGTGAATTTAGAATCCGTTTAACGTCTAAAGCGAGAAGTATCCTGAATGTGTGTGCAAGTCACTTTTAACATATAAATCAGCTAAAGGTGACCAAGTGAAAGACTTTCAATTCATTTTCCATTGTACATCAGTATAACGTTCCGTTTGTTGCGTGCTTTGCCTCATTAGACCACACTTTGCCAAGACTTGCAAAAGTTGCAAGGACACGTGCAGTCGTTTGTATGTTTTCGACTGGAAAGATGATCTCTTATGTTAAGTCTTCGACTGTTTGCCTAAGGTCACAAATTGTCCTTGTCACGCCCAATAGCATGACAATTTCTATAACGCTAGTATCGTGTTTGAAATAATGTTATCCTGTTGGTAGACGATGTTCACTGCATAATTGAATAATAGCAAAACGACAACAATAACAATAATTAAAAAAATAAATAAATGCCTTGTTTAATTCCAATTGTTGCCACTGGGGTCCTCCTGGGATGTTCCTCCTTTCATTCCAATTTCACGTATATTTCAAACACTTTTTCTATTGACTTTTGTTCTTCTTCTTACTTATTTAATAAACATTAATATTTTTTTTTTTTTTTTTTTTTTATTAATTTTCTGTTTTTAGCAAATAGATGGATATATAGCTGGTGTAGATTATCCGGCTTATGAGGCGGTACCGAAAGGCCTATCATTTAAATGCCAGGGACGTTTACCCGGCTATTATGCTGACATTGAGACTCGATGTCAGGTAAGAGAGTTTGCAAAAATCTTTAAAACACTTGTACACTTTTTGTTTTTTAAATTTCTAATTGCGATAGGTTTGGCATTGGTGTTTACACTCAGGTCATCAATATTCGTTTTTATGTCCAAATGGTACCGTATTCAATCAGGCAGTACGTGTTTGCGATTGGTGGTCCAATGTAAATTGTCCAGGCTCGGAACAATTATATGAAAATAATGATGAACTTTATCAAGCTACAGAACCGCATGCAGGAAGTAATATTTGATATAAGGTCCAACATAGCAATCAATTGAATGATTACAATAAATATCAAAAATCAATAGCAATAAATAACCAGGAAATGTCATTGACCTTAACTCGACCATCAAAACAACATCAGCACCAACAGCAGCAGCAGGAACAACAACGGCAAAGACAGCAACAAGAACGTTTATCATTAGAATTGCAACCACCAGAATTACCGCAGCAGCATCAAACATTAAGAACAACAACCGAAATAGCAATAGCAGCCATGGCATTGGCACCAGCAACCAATACTCGTTTAAGTACCAAAAATAATTTTAGAGGCAATATTAAATACGCTCTTAGCCAAAGCAAACAGCAGCCGCAGCAGCAGCAGCAGCAGCAACAGCAGCAACAACAACAACAACAACAACAACACCAACAACAACAACAATATAGTAACAATAAATCTAAGAATAATGGCGGCAATCAATTACTTAAAGGCTATCAAAAGCAAGAGCAACAGCAACAACAACAACAACAACAACATAGTACACCCTATAGCTCAATAAATGCGAATAATTTCAATAAATCCGAATCTTACCGTCGACCGCATCACACTACTAACATTAATATTAATAGCAGTAATAATAATAATAATAATAATAATAATAACAATAGATCGCGTAAGTTTCAGCAACAACAACATCAACGACAACAAAAGCAATTAAGACAAATGCATGCATTAAAAAACAATCGTAGAAATCACTCGAATGCTAATAATCTGGATAATGATGAACTTAAGGATTACAAAAGTAAAATTAAAAATAAATATAACATCGATTATGACCATGCCCTCGATGCTGAATATGAAATAATTGAAGCCATTGAATAAATAAATTTTTAATAAAATTCAGAGAAACATAACATGATGTGCAACATTATTGAGATAATCTCGCATAATTATTGTATGTGAACTTGTTGTTGTGTTATTTTTAATATTTATAATGAATCGCATTAAAAACTATATCGCGGCTTTAAAGCGAATAGTGTATAGACTCCATTCGCCAAGCTAGTGATTGGTATTTCCATAAATCTTGGCGTTTAGTGAAACAATAAAACTTAAGAAAGTTACGTAAGTTTTTTGCTAAATTTCGTACCTAAATTTCATCAGAATTATTTTACAATAATTTATTTAACATTTTTATAAAATTTATGAATTTCATCCCAAATGTCTTTAAAATAGTAACGTTTCCGTTTGATTTAATTAGTTTTTTTTTTTTTTTTTTTTTTTTTTTTGTTATTAACAATAAAAATCTGTCATAATTAATGCAAACTATAGGCCGGCATTACTTCATGACCTCTATGGACACCCATCAACGAAGCAATGAGCGGTATATTCATTTTGTCAAAACGTTTGCAACATCGAGAAAGAATTCAAAGACGCCAGAAAGTATTTATATATATTCTTCTTGATCAGCATCAAGTAATAAATCAACTTAGTCATGTTCTTTTATCCCTCTGTCTGTCTGCCTGTCCGGCTGTGTGTTGCATTTGCAACACCTAAAAAGAGTTAAAGCTTCGGTGACCCCACTCGTATATACGTTTCTGCTCAGCATTAAGCACTGAATCGATGCATGTCCGTCTGTCTGTCTTTTTAATGTCTGTTGTAGACAATGTGTTGGCCGCAAAAATGAAGCTACTCGCCTTCAAATTTGGCAGAAACATTAAAAGGTCTTGTAGGTATGTTATAAAACTGAAATTAGCCCAAATCGGTTAGATGACAAGTCAACGGTACAAGGTAACCTAAGGCCAGGTCTGTTTTCGAAATTAAAAAACAATTTGGCTTTTGGCTCGTTACTTATTATAAACCGCAATAGATACAACGACGCAAATTTGTATTTATATATAGTGGATGGAATGGAAAAAATCGGCCACGCCTATTCAATATTGTAGAATATCAAAATATAATTCTTTTATCAAGAAAGAATCTTCAGAAGCCATATAAAGTGTACATATTGTTGATTGGTATCATCTCTGAATCAATCTAGATGTCAGTACGTCTGCCCATCTACCTGTTAATTACTATGGTGAACGTGTTCATGGAAATATCTGCTTCAGACGCACGCTATAAATTCCTAGTTTTATTCTACGAAAATGCGGAAAACCTGCCCTACTACGCCCATCCGTCATTATAAAGTATAAACATTTACATTTTTGAGTCCTTTTTTTTTTAGAACAACTATGATGGGCCGAAAAAATTCGATCGCAATCGAATAAAATTTTCTTACTTTTTAGAATTCGGAGGCTTTGAAAATTATATAAAAATTGCAAATTTTTTTAATACGATACACTTTTGAGGAAAAATTTGTCGATCTATCGATAAATTGAGTGTTGTTGGCTTTAAAAATGAGAAGCACATCGACAACTAATGACGATCACTGTAAAGAAATAAAAATAAGTGAATATAGTTTACACGCCTTCTTCGCTTTCTCTCTACACATATTACTGTTTAGCTTTTATTCGCTTTGCAAACTAATATTGAATACGAAAGATACCTTTGCCAAAATTTTTATTTTCTTTTTTGAGGCCGATATTATTAGATTTTCTTGGATTTATCCTCGCTTTTGTATTTTATTTTTCGTTACCTTTTCTTTGTTTTTTTTTCTTTTCTCATTTACGTATACATATCCATATATGTGTATATGTTGTTACAGGTTTATTTATAAAATATTTTAAATCGTTTTATTTTTATTTTTTATATTTATAATTAAGAAATAAATCAATTATAAAACAACTGTAAGTCCAGGCAATTTTATTGAAAATACGATAACATAAAGCGATTAAAACGGAAACGATCAATATTGAGTTAACAACCTAAGTAAGAAAGTGAGTCATTTTAAGTCTCTCACTATAACTTAAACTATATACAGGGACGTAAATACATAGATTGTCAGCTTTTCCCATCGCATAGACTGCATCTGCTGCATCCCTTAACAATGATGCACAGTCAAGGTGACAAGTATGGCCTAAAATATTATTTTATTTTGCAATGAAAATTTATTTGATCGTATAGAAGCCGCATATTGACGAAATGAGGAAAAGCTCAAACAATATTAGAAAGAGCTAGAGAGAATTTTTTTTCTTCAAGCGTATGCTTTTTACTTCTACATAACCTTCTTGTAGGTTTAGGTCACTGGACGGATAAGCAAACGGCGATTAGTTGTTTAATTACATTCCGAATTTAACACTGGTCAAGAACGTATAAATTTAAAGGGGTTTCTAGAGCTTGCTGCTGGGCTTTATAAAGATTTTGTCATACAAATAAAAGTTTGGTACGCTATAATATTGGCTAGCCTTGGTCTATTTTATCCATTTTTATTCACGTACTACAGCATCGTCAATAGAATGGTGGTTGAGCAAAAAAACACTTTTTTCTGTTTTGTAACGCGGATATGTTAGCACTTTACGTGCTACTGCAGGCGCGCACTTCAATCAGTTTAGTCCATTCTTAACATTAACCTTCGTATAAGAACTTCAAATCCTTCCCCCAAATTTAAAGTCGGCAGCTTCATCTTTGCGGCCAACAGAATGTCTACAACAGACATTAAAAAGACGGACAGACGGACATGCTTAAATCGATTCAGTACTTAATACTGAGCAAAAACATTTACATTCTGTGGGGGGTATCTGGAGCTTCCTCGTGGCTGTTGCAAACAATTTGACAATGTGAATGGGTGTGAAACTATATGACATTTACGTATATATATACAGATCGTTCGCAAAGATGAAATTGTATAAATTATAAGCAACGTTGCGTCCAAGTCATTTCCCTTCCTTCCTTCCTGAGCCTTTGGAGCATATTCTCGGATGACTTGTCATGAAAACAATTGCACAAATAAGGTTTAAGAAGCTCTACCCCTATTACTATGCAATGAAAAAGCCAAGCTAGCCATCACCTTCAGCTAAAAGAAAGTTTTATGACGTATTGCGAACATAAATATAAATCTCTCTCAATTTCTGATTCCTAGGTATTAGAAGCAAACAGACATACACTGAATATAGAATCCGCAAAGTAACATATTTCGTTGATTGTAGGCATCTTAGTTGACGGACCATTCTCATGTAGCCGCACTAAACAATGCAATCTCTGAAGTTCTACCCTGCAGGCGAGAAATAGAGCAAACCGATAGGCCATTATACGCTAAGCAAAAGCATTAACATTTTATGCGGTTGCTAGATAACACTAAACATGAAACGAAAGCAAATCTTATCTTTTTCAAACACATAGCATCGCATCAGCTCAAGACTGATTTTGCAAAGGATTTGTGATTGCCTTCTATTAATTTAGATGAGAGAAAAAAAGTGTATATATATATATATATATATATATATATCAAAGTAAATATAAACACTACACTGAGTCATAGAATTTTTAAAATGAATCGTTTCAAGAGAAGTGGTACCAAAAAGATGATGCTATTCGACCCATTTTCACTAGCGTTCCTCCTTGGGCCAAAACCACTCAATATATCAGATTTTATCAAAATATCTCAGAAATGCCTGCCTTTAAGCTAAACAAAAGATGGATCTATCTCAAGTTCTTCTGGGTATTGCATATATCCGTACACACTTGGTACTTGGCCTTGCGCCACAAGTGGTGTAAAGTATAATAAATAACTTAAATAAACAAAACAACAACAAAAGAAGTCATTAAGAAAAGTGCGGCACACAATCGCTCTCCCAAAACATGACACAATGGAGATGGAGTTCGCGAGATGAGTTTTGCAGTCGAGCAACTGGCACTCAGGCATTAGTGAGGAGTACCTTGTCGTTATAGAGCAACGATTTCTGCTGAATAGTAGCAATTGTATCCTACCAAAGACATACCTATCATGATTCTGATCATGTGTAACGATATGTGTAATGTTCAACATCTGAGCAAGTCGCTTAACGAAACGTTAATTAATAAACGTTTAACAAAATTAATGTAACAGTAAAAGATTTGGTCAAAGCCGCATAATGCTATGATTGTAAACCGGTATAAATAAAAAAAGTCACCATTACGTGGATCTCTACCCCGATATCTGTCAATTATTATTTAAATTGTCATTTGCCGGACAATGTTGCATTCTGTAAGGCTTTATATGTGCTTATTGATTCGAAATGAAGCTTCCGCTGGTAGATTCTTTTGGTCATTAATAAGTATCAATATGATTTTCAATTGTGTTAAGCATTGATCTAAATGCTAATTAGACCTATTTTTCATGAATAATAAGCTCTTCAGCAAAAGGTTGAATTTGTAATATTTTATGGTGAAAATTTGTTCGCAGTAGCTATTTAGTAGAAGAGTTAGTCGTATAAGAGAAGGTCTAATTTATCTATTTTTTTAGAACGAAAACTGAAAAATAATGAAATTTTTGAAAATAAATTTCAGTTTACTAAATTGAATTACTCCATGTGATGTTTTGATTATCGTCCAATATGCGGGCTTCCATGAAAAGTGTACTAGACAAAATGGTATAGAGTATCTAAAAGTCGGTCATGTCTAACTATAATGTGCTAAGTCGTTTTATTATTATTTTATTTTTTTTTTTTTTTTTTGATAACACGAAACGGTAAGCAACTAACCAAAAACAACGCACGCTGAGTAGCATCTCTGATGTATTACAAAATTAGTAAACGTTCGTTCTTCAATGAACGATGAGTTTTAAACGAAAGAAGAATTAAAGGCATTTCGCATATATTTCAATGGGATAAAG